GAACTTCAAACTGCCTTGAGCCAGTAGGAAAAAGAGACGCCAGTGTGGCTGGACGTCCCCTTCGCAGGTTCCAAGAGGTCACGTGTTTATCGCACCAATTCCAATCCAGCTACAAACAATTTCAGTAAGAGCCGTCCTTGAGGAAAACTGGAAAGCTGTTTCAGGCTGGGTCTAAAGCAATGCTGTGGGTTTTCTGGGAAATTTTGAGTTGGGAAAATTGACTGATTCAAATTTAAACAAATACTTTAAATAATGTTAGCAAAATCAGGCAAACACACCATGCACAAGCAGTGGGGTTTGCTCATGTTTCATATTTAGCCCATCTAGCATGACTGACTTACAGCACAACAAGTATAGATAAACAGACTATATTTACACATGTGGGGCATAAAATTTTCCATGGAAAAATATGGCACTAGAAAAATTTCCACCCCACATCACTGTCTAAAGCATGTGCACCTAATCCAAGGATCGGAAGCATTATCCTCCTTTTCAGTCACTAAGTGACAGGCAAAACATAAAGCCCACTTTATTTAGACAAATAAGCTGTGGAAGACTTTCCCTTAAATGAAAAAAAGCAATCGGTTTTCTAGTTGTCAAGAGAGGCTGTTTGGAAAAGGACATATTCCACACACACAAACCTGCTCCGATACCCACACAGGCCCAAACAAACTGTCAATGGAGCTCTCGTACCAGAGGCATCAAGCCCTCTTCAGACCAAAGCCCTATTACATTCTGTTACCAGCTTACAGGACATTACAGCTCGAAATACACAAGCAAGCCTCTCTCAGCACAAGCGTTTGGCCGATGCAATGCAATCCAGTGGGAGGGAAGGGTCACAACACAGGAGAGAAAGATCAAGCGCACAGATGCACAACAGGTCTAAAGGGCCAAGTAGCATCAGTTTGGGGGGAGGGCACTACAGTAGAAACACAGAGACAGTCAGAGGATAAAATGGGATAACCCCACAGCACATTGCTCCAAGTCCATTAAAGGATGAGCCAGACAAACATGCGGTGAAAAAGTGAGATTCTCACTCAAACGACTAACAGCATTTTAAATTGCGTTCATGAGAGCTTCGTTTCCACCAAATCTACAGTACTGAAGACAAATTCCGAAACTCGGACTGCTACTGGGCCAAGGATCTGTCCAAGCGGCTCTCTGCTCTGCCTTATTTAGGGGAATAGATCAAACATTTTCCTCACTTCTCTCCAAGTGGGCAGAGGTTCCGAGGACAGCTTTGCTTCCCAGTGGAGGAATGAACACGAGAGGCTTATGGCATCTCTGAAATATCTGCTTTACTTACAAATATACTAACAGAGCTCAGGCAAAGGCCCACTGCAGACTCCCTATCCCCCACACACACACACCAGACCGATTCCGTGCCCCCAGGGGACTTCAGCCACCTCCCAGGGGTCGCTGGCCTGCTTCCCTTGGCCCCCAAGAGAGGGAAACGGCTCTTTTCCCCACAGACGCACCTACCCACCCGCTCGTCCCAGTTGTGCCATGTAATTTCCCTAAATCCCCTCACGAGGCCAGCTTCTCTGCCAGAGACCTACAGCAGACACGGGGTCCGTAGCCCGCAAACCGACTGGCCAGGCCAGTGCAGCGGACCTCCCGCTCCCTCGGGGACCCACAGGGCTGCCAATGCCGCCGGTTTGGAGCTGAGATCCATTGTAATCCCAGGAGATCCCCAGGCCCCACCTGATGGCCACACACTCTAGGGATGCAGTGCAAAGCCTTCCCTTCCTAGCCCCGCGCAGACTTCCCCCCATTTTCCTCTCTGCTCTCACACCCCAAAGCAACCAGGCAGGGACTTTCCCCCCTCACACACCTTTGGCCTTTTCCCCGGCTCTTCAAAACCCTCCCTCAGCGCTGGAGCCACAAGCCGACCCTGGCTCCCCAGCTCAAGACCGTCCGGAGGAGAGACCTGAAACCCCTCCAGCCAGCCAGGAGGGGACGAGAGACACAAGGCCGGACCCAGGTTTATTGGGGGGGGGAGCAGGCGCTGGGCAGCGTACAGCTTGTACAGCTGCCATCTACCCACCACCCACATATCCACTTGCCCCCCCTGCTCCTCGCGGCCCCTCCCACGCCTGCTGCCCCGTGCTCACCCTCACTGCTCCTCCCCCCACCATGCCCTTGGGACCACTGGCGGCGGCAGGAAAAGGAGACCTGGACCCCAGCAGGCACCTCCCTTCCTACCCTTCCAAGTCCTTGGGCAAAACCTAATAGTCTCTTCCCAGAGAGACCCCTTGCCAACTCGATCACATGGGGGGGGGGAGGAGGAAGAAGAAGAAGAAGAAAAGAAGAGATTGGATTTATGCCCCGCCCTTCACTCGGAGTCTCAGAGCGGCTTACAAACTCCTTTCCCTTCCCCTCCCCACAACAGATACCCTGTGAGGTGGTGGGGCTGAGAGAGCTCTGACAGAAACGGCTCTTTTTCAAGAATAGCTGTGCCAGAGCTTGTAACTGACCCAAGGTCACACCAGCAGGTGCAAGTGGAGGAGTGGGGAATCAAACCTGGTTCTCCCAGGTTAGAGTCCACACACTTAACCACGACCCCAAACTGGAAACTTGGGGAAAGGGAAGAGCCTCACTTTGTGTGGGGGGGTCCGGCGGTCTAAGCCACCGCGGGGCATTCAGGGCAGCTCCCCCGGGCACCGTTGCCCTGAAGCACCCACCACCACCACCACCACCACCGAGTCACAAGGCAGCGGGAGGGAGGGGCGATCGACGGTCCAGTGGCCGGGCCCCTCCAGGCCCCTCCAGCCGACTGCCCTCCCCACGGCCCTGCGTGCACGACTCTGGGGCCCCCTCCTCCATCCTGGCCCTGCATCCCGAAGGCTGCCAGCACTGCTTGTCTCAACAGATTTTCCCACACAGAGAGGGAGGGCTGGAGGCAGGGAGGTCCGTCCAGGCGGCCGTCGCAGGGAAGCAGCTGTCAGGCTCTGAAGACAAATTACACCTCTGCCTTTCTATTAAAGTCAATAAAACAAATCTCTTCCCAGTGGGAACCATCAGGCCACCAGAAAACCCAAACCCACAAATTAACTCCTAAAATGTTTCCCAAGGAGAGCCTCTGAAAAGATTTCCCTGGGTTTTTCCTCTTTAAAAAAAACCTGATGCAGAGCCTATTTGTCAGGAAAGGAACTCAATTTCAGCTGCCTCTCAAGCTGGCTAATGGCCATTTCACAGCCTACAGGATCATATTTGTTGCTTAGCTGTTCATGGATTTGAGCATAAACACCACAACAGGGAAAGTGTTTCAAAGGGGCCAATCTAAGCAAGGTCAGAAGGCATCTTCACGACAACCCCAGAAGCGGCCTTAAGATGAAGAGGTTGCAGTTGGCTCACAAGGAACCTGACAGAAAGGAGAGGCCATGCAGCGGAGGGGCTGCAGTCTTTGCCCAGACCCCCACTGTGCCACGAAATTCACAAGGTCGCTCTCAGACAAGTGACTCTCCCGCAGCCTGGCCTACCTCGCAGGGTTGTCACGGGAATAAAATGGGGGAAGGGAGAACCATGTCTGCTGTCCAGAGCTCCTGGGAGGAAAGCAAGATAAAATTTTACCAGATTGGGGGGGGGGGACAATTTTCAGCAACGCTCTTGGGAAGAAGCCAAGTTTAGCCACACTGGGTTTTCCCAGGCCTCTTGGATTAAGTCCAGGGAACGCCTCCGAGATTAAGATCCCTTCAACTGAATTTATACAGTGATTTCCCCCAAACATGTCCTTTATTTACTTATTTAACCCAAATCTACCCCACTCTCTCAATAAAGTATCCCCAAATTGGCATACAAGATTCAATTATATTAAATAAAAACAGGTGTGTTTTTTTTTTTAAATCAGCAGCATAAAAATAGACAGAAGCAACAACATTAAAACCTCGTTCTCGACACACCTGGGGGGAAAAGAGCCATCAGATATAACAGGACATTTCAAGGCAAATGGGTAGTCCAGTATAGGGGGAAACATTACCCACAAGTGTGGGGAAATAAATGCTTTTGACGAGCACCCGAAAATACTGCAGATTCCGCGCCAGCCACAGTTCCGTGGGGAGAGAGTTCAGCACCGCAGTGGCTGCAAAAGAGAAGGGTGCTGCTGCTCTTGGGGTTCACAACTTTCCTTCATTTATATACCGCTTCGCCTCCCAACGGGGGCCCAAAGCAGCATCTCTCATTCTGTACCCCTCCATTTTTTCATCACAACAACCCTGCAAGAGGCGGAGAGTGTGTGATTGGCCCAAGGTCATTAAGCAAGCTTCGGCGGTCAACAACCCAGGTCTCCCATATTCAAGTCTGACACTCCAACCCTGACACCACTTTCTGATCATATGCACACACAGAGCAGGATTCCTTGGGTGAATCAGGACTGTTGCCTCCTTGATCGACACCAGCGGTCGTCCTCGAGGCCAGGGAGTCAGTACACAATGGCCCCAGTTCCAGCGTAGAGTTTCTCCCCGGCACAATTTCCATATAGAGGAAAGTCCGTTTCCCAACATTTGCAAATTGCTTCTGCTGTGATGATCCGTTTCATCTGAAGCTTTCATGGACTTCACTCATTCTATCAGGTTCCCCTTGAACCAGAACAAGAGCTCTGCAAGAGGCGACAGCAAAGCCGAGTGCCTTGCGAGAGCTCAACTCCTCTGCCATTCAACACTGGCCACAAGCCTTGCAACGCCAGTCGAGCAGCATCCGGCTTGACTGAGCAGGATCCTTTATAGGGAAGTGACCGTTTTGACACGGATCACAGACACACTACTTGAAGGCACACTTGGATTTCCCCAGCACAGCTACGGCACTGATGCTGAAGCGCAAGTCGGCACGCTTGCTGCAGGCGTGAGGTCATCCCAGCTGAGTGGGCTTGCAGGAAGCAGGTTACAGACCAAGTATGGTCCCCCCCCTCCCCCCAATATCACAGGCGGCTGATTAGCATCGGCTGGGCTGTCAGTCCGGATGCTATCAACAGCAGGCACAGCACAGGACAGAAATCACCCCACGCTCTCCCCGGGAAGCTGGTAAACCCCTTCCATCTGCAAAGGAGTCCAGACGGCTATCATGGTCGGATGAGACCCAGGATCAGGTTCCCGCTCTGCCCTGGAAGCTCGCTGGGAGTCCTTGGGGCAGTCACTCCCTCTCAGCCTCACCTGCCTCATGGGGTTCTTGTGAGGCCACAGTAGAGGAGGAAGGAAGGCTGAAAGCAGTTTTGGAGAGAAAAATCCTCTAAACATACGATAAACAAACCCACCCCTCAAATCACTACATGTGTTGCCAAATTTTTAGCTGAAGCTTATAAAATTAAGTCCAAACACCACTGTATCTTAATTGTTGGATGCCTTTTTTCCCTATTTGTTTATGATGTTTTATTGATTTAAATACATACTTGATCTGTATTGTTGGTCACTATCTTAATTAACTGTTCTATTTGTCTGTTCTTATAATCTATCAGACCTTTGTATTTATTCTTGATTGTAATTTATCGGCATCTTTCATGCCAATAAAGGTCGAAATGGAAATGGAAATAAACCCATCACCTAAAGCAAACTACATAGCTTTGGGGCTGACACATATTAACCCTACTCTTTCTCCAAAGATCTTAGAGGAATGAACGTGGTTTTTCCTTCTCTTGCTTATCCTCACAACAACCCTGTGATGTAGGTCAGGCTGAGAAATGGTGACAGACCAAGGCCACCTAGCAAGCTTCAAGGCAGAGGAGAGGCTTGAACTCAGACCCTCCCAGAGCCTAATCCAGCACCCAAAACACCATGCCATGTGGGCTCCCTAATTTGAACCCGTGTCCACACTCAGCACTCTATACACTACATCCCAATGGCTCTCAGGGGTCTCCTCACCCCACCCCTCCACCAAGCCCCCATTCACACAGCCAGAAAAGCAGAACTGCTATCAGGAACTTATTTCTGCTATCGGACATCTCTCCCTAAATCAGGGCAGAGCTGCAATATTCTAAGCAAAACCTTTGGACCAGACCAGGCCTGTTCTGTTTCTACACCTGATCAAGTTTCCCACAGCTCAGGAAAGAGTCATGGCCCCATTGAATACTGGGGTGTCCAGATAAGGTCCCCATAGATGGCCTGCCCACAGAACCTGTACAATCCCCACAAACATTATGGGGCCGCTCCAGTCAGCAATCCAGAAAGCCCCAAGGACACAACTAACTATCTCAAGGATATGGGTTCAAACTGAGGGCGGGAAGGGACCGGCTGGATCCGAGGGGAAACTTTTTGACAGTCAGAGTTGTGCCACAGTGGAATCGGCTGCCTGGGGAGGTGGTGGGTGAGCTCCCCCCCCCTTCTCACTGGCAGTCTTCAAGCAGCGGCTGCACTAGGCAGAGGGGTTTGGTCTAGATGGCCCCTTCCGGCTCTGCGTGATTCTGTGATTGCATAATTATATATGCATAATTCTTGCCTTGTTTCGGTCATTCTTTCCACCTCTCACTGCCTCTTGTGTGCTGAAGCTGAAATTGTGAGCTCCTCGGAGCAGAGACTCTTGAAGCATCAGGCATGTCAGTGATGCCAGGTAATAGGTTTGGAGTCAGTGCTGTCCAGCGGTCCGTCTTGCAGACCTGGGTTTGAATTCTCCCCAGGGCTATGAATCGTATTGGGTGGTCTTGGGTCAGTCATCCTCTTGCAATGTAACCTACCTCACACGGTTGTTGTTAGGGGGAATGAGGAAGCCCCACGCATTTATGCCGCCCTGAGCTCCTTTGCAGAAGGAGGGAGTGACAAGGAAAAGAAGCATGTTGTTCATTAATAATATGGGGTGCTGTTTCAATGGGGAGGGGAGGCACAGTACAGGCTTTCTGGTCTGAATTGCAGGTCTCCAAAGACTAAATGGCAAAACAAGAGACAGACATAAAATAGTTTTTTTTAAGGGCATTTGCTTGGGCTTATTTTTTATTCCTAAAAATAACGGGAGATGCATAGGCGGAATCTCATGCTCCCCTGTCACATAGCACCCCTGTTTCTACAGGCCGCCTTCATTCAGAATCGGTGAACTTTGGACGGAACCAGCTAGAGTGGGAAGGAGGAAGATCGCCAGCAAGGGAAGAGGAGCCCTCGGCAGGCAGGCTGGTTTTCTGCTGTCTCCAGCGAGTGTCCTGAAGCTCCCTTGGGACTCCCTGGCCCGTCATTCCCGTCTCCCAAGGCTGCCCCCTCCAACCTCCCCTCCCGGGACGGAAAGGGACTCCTAGTGGTCCGGGCCGTCAAGTCACTTCAGCTTCTGGCAACCCTATGAATTCCTGACCTCCAAAACCTCCTACCATTAACAGCCTTGCTCAAGACCTGCAAAGGGGGGAGGGCCTTTGTGGCTCCCTTGGCAGGCTGAGTCCGTCCACCTCCCTCTTTCCCTGCTGCCTCCCACTTTCCCTGGCAGGGCTGCCTTTCCCAGTGACCCTTGCCTTCTCATCACGCGGCTAAGGGACGGTCGCCTCAGCTGGGTCCTTTTAGCTTCTAGGGAGAGTTCCGGCTTGATTTGATCGAGAAGGCCCCCCGCTGATTCGTCTTTTTGGCAGCCCACGGTATCCATGACATTCTATCTTGCATTTCTCACTCCATATATGATCACTGCTGTAAGATGTTGAGCATCAGTTTACTCATGTGAGAAATTAATGTGATCATCTGATAGTTGCTGCAGTCTTTGATGTCTCCTTTTTCATAACTGGAATAGTAATTGACAGTTTCCAATTGTGGGCCATTGTTTTGTTTTCCATATTCGTTGGCATAGGAAAATGTATTCTGCACATGCCTGGAGGCACAATCAGCTTTAATACTTGAGTGTTCCAGAAAAGGCCCATGGCTCAAGGGAAGCTAAGTGGTGCACGCTAGACTAAGAGGCATACAAATATTGTGACTCCACAGCGCCTCACAAATGGATCTGCAGCTGTTCAGTCAACTAACCAACTGGACTTATTACAGTGCCATCCTAAACAGAATCACACCATCCTGAGTCTGTTGATATCCGGTGGCCTTAGAAGGATGCAATTCTGCCTAGGATGGCGGTGTTATAATGAGTGTCTATCCCATTCTTCTCCCCCAGGGGGGATCCAAAGCAACTTGCAACATCATTCTCCTGTCCTCCACTTTATCCTAAAAGCAACCCTGTGAGGTAGGTTACACTGAGAGAAAGTGACAGTCCCAAGGTCATCCAGTGGGGATTTAGACCTGAGCCTCCTGGAGCCTAGTCCAACATCATCGTGCTAGCGGTCAAGTATCTCATGTGCCTGATTAGCTGGGCCACTGACTTCTTAAAAGATGTATTAACAGTAATTAAGTCCTGAACAATCCAAGGGTGGCAAGCACCTTCCGAGAAGAAGCATTTCTCCCCTCTCCCGTATAGGATGGGATGCCCGTTCCAAGACGAGGCCTTCATGGAAAAGGAATTCTTCCGCTCATGCACAGGATGGCATGCCTCTTCCGAGACAACCCCTTCTGAACAGACGCATTCCTCCTTCACCTCTCTCACACATTCTGAGAGGGCACCTTCTTAGAGGACGCATTCCTCCTTCACCTCTCTCTCTCTCTCTCTCAAGCAAGGTGGAAGGCTTCTTCCAAGATGGGCCCTTCTCGGAACAGGAATTCTTCCGCTCATGCACATGGGCTGAACATCTTTTTGGAGAGGGTCTCTGCAGCATGACCACCAAACTTAATCACATGAAATATTTTTATGACCATTGTTTTATTTATCTACAGATCTGTGCAGATATTCAACCAAGTAATTAATCAATATCAAAAACTCATCTGCTTCATCAGCTTTAAAAAAATAATCCAGTTACTCCCTCTTTAAAATGCATTGGTGGCACAGACGTAAGTCCTAAAGGAAGCTCTTCTCTTTTTTTGAATGAAACCCCCCCACACACACACAGGGAGAGAGAGGAGACGGAGGCATCTGCGTCACTGAGAACGCTGCAAGGTGGGGAGGGGGGGGCAGCACGGAGACAAACTGCAACTCTGAAAGCACCCCCACCCCCTCGCTTCCGCTACCCAAAGAAGAGCCATGGTGCAGATGGGCACTCCTGCGCCATGGGGGCATATCTGCATTCCAGGCAGAGGCCCACAGGTGTCCAGTACCCCCAGGCCCTGGTTGGGAGGGTGCCTTTAGGAAGAGGTCCTGGGACACCCCCCCCCCTCGCCCAGAACCCTCGGCTGACAACAGACTGACTCTCTGGGGAATGCAAAGCCCTCTGTGTGCACCCAGAGCCACGGTTCTCTCTGCACAGTGCCCACATCGGAGGGCTGGAGATGGAACCCAGAGTTCAAACATGCTGCCTGGGGAAAGCACTCTGCACATGCTCTGAGGTACCTCAGCCGGTGCTTACAGGCTGCAAAACTAAGTCTCTGACCCCCGGGGACCTGTTTGAGCGCTGGGCGGAGGGAGGGCCGGCGTAGGAGGCACATTTTTACTCGGGAGGACGTCCCTCCTAAACCAATGCGAGACTGACTGGGAAGTATGTATTTCTCCACAACAGGGGGTGGGTTCCCGCGCCCAGCGCAAAGGCTCTTTCAGCCAGCTCCTGTCCCCAACGCCCAGGCTCAGCCGTGGCACGGACCGACCGATAGCCTCTGAGCCGGTGCAGAGTGTTTCCGGGCCAACGCCACCTACCCCACTCATTCAGGGCGGAGGGCGTGACCGGCCGTCGGGACGCGAGCCCCCCGCACCTCTCGGGGTCTGGAAGGCCGCCCCCTGCGCCCCCCTCCCCCGAGGCGCGTCTCAAACCCCACCCCTCGGGAGGGGGGGAGAAAAAGAGGCGCGGGGGGAGCACGGGGGGGAGGTGGAG